CTCAATTTTCCCCACCAGTGAGAATCTTATTAGGTCAGTTTCTAGGAGTACTATGCTGGCTGATTCCTTGAAATTCTCCCATTTCCGAAGGTTTTTCGTCGAAGCGACGAAAGCGCTGAACCAATGTCTTACCAGGATGACCTTTCAGGCATGGAGCAATTTTTCAAACCGGATTTCTGCCTTTCATATTTAAGGGCACGTGCTTAGAGCACAAAAGTGAGGATCTTCTTCTCGCAGCGGCCCAGGGAATACTGGAAAAATGGAAACATTGGTTCGTGGTCCGATCAAAACTAAAGACAACTTTCTGCGTTTCTATGATTTTCTATTTCCTGCGCTCATATATGCCCAAACGCATCGACTGAGCAAACCCTCTGATGTGCAAACATTCCAAGCGTACAAAGCCCAAGTTTGCCCACAAATGAGGAAGTTTCACTTCCTAATCAGGGTTGTCCCGCTTCCTTCTCAGGCAGTCTAGGACCGCTCAGAAAAGAAACGATCGTCATTTTCCGAATGTCCACGTACTTGCCCCTACAACATGGAGAAAATCGTTTTGAAAAAGCGCTTGTTTGTGGTGTGGAACGATACTTGTGCGCGTGAACAATTAAATATAAATCGTTTTGCAGTCAATTTTCCCGCTTTGAGATGCGCCATGCACTCGGTGTGGTCAGGTTGCAGATGCTTTGAAACTTGTACCCCTCACCTGTGTCGCTGGCCGCTGCGCATACGACCCTCCCCTCCCGTCAGCCAATTACACCTGGACTCCGACCCTTGGCCAACCGCCCGTTGATCAAACTTCAACGAGGAGGGTCGCATTTGGGCGAGGAAAGAGGGGGCGGGTCATACATATGCGCAGGGACCAAGATAGACGAGTGATCTTCTTAGGTGTAGTAGGAGCATAGGGATGGTTAACGCTGTAAAGGGTCCTCAATGTGTAAAAAAAGAATGGCTGAGATCACAAGAGAAATAAGGAGAGTTAGAGGATGCGATTGAAGTTCGCACCTCTAGACTCGGGATTGCATCATTGAAGGATCAGAATCGAAACGTCTGCTGTCGTTAGGTGAGGGGTGTGGTCTTCGAGCGCTTCTTGAACTCTTAATCACACCGAGTGCATGGCGCATCTTAAAGCAGAAATAGTTCTGGCAAACCGGTCCATACTGGATTGCACACATGCGCAAGTATTGCTCCACAGGAAAGCCGATGAATTTTGGACCATGTCTATCCAGGAAAGGAGACCACTCGGTCAAACCAACTTTCCGAAACTCAGAAATTTCGAAAAAAAAACTCGTAATTGATTCCATGTCCTCTTATCTGGGAACCTCGACATTTGCTCATTGGAAGGCGTTCGGTGGGGTAGCGTTTTCGTAAGCTTTGAGCCATTTTTAGGCCTTGAAAACGACGAGACGGTCGAACGTTAGGCCAAAATAAATATTTCCACCTAACAACCTCGAGGCAGAAGTAAAAGTTACAATTCAACTCTTTGGAGAGATCAGTACCTGATAGAGCAGACGAAACTTGTAGTTTTCCGGAAGGAATCTTACCATTCAAAATTGAAAACTCGTGTTTGCAATATTAGCCCGAAAATTTCATGGAGATGAAAGACGGACCAACGGTGCTACTTTTGACCCGCTCTCCTGAAACCAGCGTCAGTATTTGTTGAAGAGTCGTAATACTAAAATCGTCTCGTTGTTCCGTTTTTGTGCACACGCGAATTCTCAACATTCAACTTTTCTTCATAATCAATTTTTCGCGGATCTCTATGGATAGCTAGGAACTGGGATTAGTCCTTTAGAATGAGCACTGAAACTTTTTGAAGACCACTCTTCCGAAAATTAGTCCGGTTCTGTTTTTTCCCTTCTATGGCTTCCTTAGGCCACTCTGAAACGCGCGTTTCCCGCTTTTAACACCTATAAGTTTCTTCAAAGTATGGCATAATTGGAAGGAGTAACAGTGAAAGCAATCCCAAATTTTTTTTTCTTCCATCTTTGCCAGCACTGTAGTTTCTCGCCATCTCGGAAGTCCCTGCCCTTCTACAAGGTTCTAGTACTAGGTCTCCACTTCCCCTTTATTTGAGTGAGTTAGGTGCGTCTTTAACACATTGACGACAACGCGGGGGATATATATCCCGCGCATTGCAGGCCATGTCGGACCGTGCGGGATATATATCCCCCGCACCCATTACACTCATTTTTTTCGCGCACGCCTGATTCTTTTAGAAGTTTCTTGTATTCATTCCATGGAAGAGACCTTGACGTAGCTACAAACATAGTGGCCTTTAGAATGGTCACGTATACTTTAATTTAGAGGAGGATTTCTGAACCATACGAAATCTTCATTTCAATAAATTTTTCGTTTACTTTTTCTTTTTATGAATGTGAAGATTTAAATAGTGTAAATAGAAGTAAATACAGGACCTTAAGGATGACAGCATGTGTGTTTTGATTGAAATAATCAACTAAAATTGCTTTTGAGGTCCATTGCAGCTAGTTCTGGCAAATTTCCCTTTTTCATTGTTATTCCACGTCTTTCGATCGAAATTCCACTACTGGACCCTGGTAGGTTGATTTACTGGTTTGGTTTTGAATTGGTCATTAGTTGTGTATTTACCACTCAAAATCTCTTGAACGACCTGAGGCGAGCGCGCCCGCAAAATCGCCGCGGTCCCACGTGGCCAAAAAAGCCAAAACTCGCATTGTCGTCATTGTTTAACTGTATGCTCTCCGTCATTTCGATGCAAGATATAGAATTCAAAATCCATAACCCTCCCCCCCCCCTCCAGTTGGCGGCAAATACGTCCTTCTGTCGTTATGCGCGAGTGATGACACTGCTACCATCAGAAATTAGTTATATAAGTTCAGAAACACGAGGCGGTGCCCGTACCTTTATACATCACGTTCCTGTTTAATCTTGTGTCAGAACGCGAGTTTATCGCGCGTCTCTTACATCGTGTTGCTTGCGGCCACGTACAAGACACGTTATTTTACACCTGATTAACAAGAGGGTGTTCTCAAAACCATGTTGTTGTGAATCAGTTCCGCCCCATTATTTCCGAGTTATAAAGTGCTCAAAAACAACCCGACCAACACCCAGCAAAACTGGTGCTCCTGTGGGAGACCGATCGACCGACATAAAGACACAGAGACGTGTTGGTCATACCAGGACTAGGCCCACAAAAGGAGAGAACGCAGGGAGAGCATAAATTGTTCACATGCTTCCCAAGATCCTTCTTCATAGGTTGCTCCCAAATCCCAAGCAAGTAATTGCTACTCACCGGATTCCCTTCCTCACCAAACGATAGAGGCGCGCAAATTCTCTTCTGGTCTAAACATCCCACGCGCGCACATCGATTATTTTTTTAGCGGATGACCTGCACAGCAATAATCTCGCGGCCTACTTTGTTGGGGGAGGACCACCGGCGGCGCGCGCTTGCTCGCCTGGTATCTTTACGTTTGGGTTACACTAGGTGAGGTCCGAGGGTACTTTTAAATCAGTCTAAGGGGGTGGGGGGTGAGGGAGTCACTTGACATGAGTGAAAAGCTGGAATGTTCGAGTTCACGCTATATCGCTCGAGAGAGCGCCAGGCGAGCAAAGCGCCGCGCCGCCGCGTGGTTCTCCCAACTGAGGCTGCTTCTATGTCTGTGGTCCGAGATCCAGCGCGTCGTGCGGACGGCTCGGACAGGGTGAAAAACGTCAACACGCGCTCCGGCGCACAATGCGCACTTGGCGCGCAGTCGGCGCCTCCCTCGATCGATAATGCTAATTTCGAAACATTTTTTCTGTATTTTGACGTTTTGTGCGCCGTTTTGCTTTTTCTTGCGGTTGCTTAGCCCAAAACTTTTCCTTTTTTGTATGGATTACTGCTTTTGCTCACTAATGAACCCACTTGGTGCTTATTGCCACTTTCAAACACAGTGTATGAACCTAATCCATTCTAGGACAGTTGAAAAGCAATGATTCACACGAAAAAGAGGTGCGCATTGTGAGCGCGGAGCGCGGTTGACGTTTCACACCTGTCTGACCGTCTTCAGGACGGCGCGTACTGCAGTACCCGATCTATGAATAGCAGCCTAATTACACACCCAAGATGCTCATTGCTGAACTCGACTTCCATACACCGAACAACCAACCAGTGTGCGCTATATACGAGCTTGAAAGGGTGATTGGGCTCCCCTCTCCCGCATCAAAGCGATAGGATCCCGGGAACGCTAGATCTGCGCATCAACCATTCGGTCGAACTTTCAGTACTGGTCGGGTTCGGATTGCAACAACCACAGCTCTCCGCTCTATCCACTGCACATCATACTTCCTTCACCGCCAGCGCAATAATGTTCGGGTCAGATAATTGCGCATATTCGATGCTAGAGATAACTTGGTGCACTCTATCGATTATGTGTGCTCGCGCCTTGTTTCGAATTGTTGTTTGAAATTCAGTGCTACTTTCTGGAACTTTATTGTATATCTGCTTGCAGCTATCTTTAGCCCTCTAGTGTTGTAAAGTTTCCTGGTTTGTGCGTCGTATTTGTGACTCTACTTACTGCATTTCGAAAGCGTTTGTCAGCATCCAATAGTCGGGCTCTTTCTTACTCTTAAACGTTTTGCCAACGAATGAGCTTTTTTACTTCCATTCTTCTTTTTCGGAAATTCGTTTCTGTGTGCAAAGATTGAGTTTGTTTTCATGTCGTCTTAATGGCTTCCATGGTGCTATCGCAAGAAACGGGGGCATTTTGGTGGCGATGCATTCAGAACTGCGTAAGGCCTTTTTTGTTGAAAGCGGGTCTAAACGCAAGCGTAAAGGAGACTTTAGAGTACGGGAGCAGTTTCTCGTTCCCCCGAAGTTTCTCCCCCTTCTAGGCTTTGGCTTAGTCCTAGAGTATGCCCCCATATCTTGCGATAGCACCGTTTACTTCTTAACAGGCTCACATTACTCTCTCATTTGATTGAACTCTTTCTAGCACGTGTCTTCTGGGCTTTAATAAATTCAAAACTTGGAAGAAATTTCTAGAATGTCAAAGACTGGACATGCTAGAGAAGGTTTGTTTCACTATTTATTTGGTTGGAACAAAGATCGAGTTCTCATCTCCGCCGTATTACAGATGCAGAAGCCTATGCCCAAGAATTGAACAGGAAAAGGATCCTCCAAGCAACAGAAGATGAAAAGGACGAAAACAACGAAAATGGAGCTGGCAAGATAGCATTCGGGGCGGCGGGTCATTATGACACGGTAATCATTTCTCACGGGAACTTTTCTTGTTATCAAGACATTCTTAGTTCAAAAAATGTTCCTGCACTAGTCATTTTGATTTGCGCATTCAAGTTCTGAAATTTTTTACTTCAGTTTACCCGCATTTCATGATCATTTTTAGGATGTTTATGGCAGTGTGCGCGGAAACCGAAGTGGTAAATATCTTGACTCGATCAATACAGCAGATGAAGACGATATCGATGAGGACACAATTGCTCCAATGCCTAAAAAGGGGATTAATGCTCCTGCAAAGTTCATACACGAGGCTTCTCACACTGGCGCCGATGTGAGTTCCATTTTTCTTCTACAGGGTGGGCCAAAATTATGAGGACCGCGTGCGCGCGCTCACATATCCACTTTTTTCCGAGTCGCTCCATTTTCATCTCCTTTTCCAAATGTTCATGAGTTCTCAAAACTAGTGAAATAACTACATCACCTTACGTCAGTCCTCAAATTGAACTCACTAAGGCTCTGGCACGTTACATCTAGCGGCAGTCTAACGTATCAGGGAAGCTCTTATGAGCAACAGTTCAACTCTTCAATAAGTTTGGAACCACCACAGATGGAAAATTCGGAGACTCGAAAGTTACAGTTACCACCAGGATAATTATCAGATGCAGAAACTAGGTCTCCCCTTGTCGACTTTCGTACTCCCAAAATGAAAAAATTGATGTGAAAACCCAGCCAGACACTCTAAAGACTCCACATCTGTATAGAAAGCCACTCGAGTAGTCTACTTGGGACTTTTTACAGGACCGAGCACCCAAGAATAAAGCAAAAATTCTCTAAAAAGCGATTTTTCGAGTTCGTTGCTTTCGAAGAATTGTTACAATTGAACCTTAACCTAACAGCTCTAGCTTTCAGT